GCTTCCAGCCCCGCCGGGGGGCGGTGCCAGCGTGCATGTGGGCAGGGGCCGGCGGACTCTCTTCGAGGATGGAGCAAACAGGCAGCAGCACAGGATGGCTTAAAAGAAAGAAAGGAAAAAACAAACACAACCAAACCAAACCAACCAAGGAAGCTGTGGGCTACAGACTTTGTCGTAACCAAGGGGTGGGGAATCATCTGGGGGGGACACAGATGCCAGCACCGACGGGCAGGTGAGAAGCTTCACGAGAAATGCGGCTGCACGGAGGGACCCTGAGCGCTGCGGACGCCCCGGGGCTGGGTGGGCTCACCACAGCCTGCAGACACTGGTTTCACACGCAATGAAGCAAACCGCTCAGCCCTGTAGCTACCGCAATGTTTTCTGTGGAAGAGTTTTATGAAGGATTAAAGTCTATAACAAAAGGGGTTTGTGCCAGCTGATGGGGCTTCACCTCTCCCTGCCACACTGGGGGGGGCTCTCGGGCAGAAGGGTTTTGCTGCTTGGAGTCAGCGTGTCCTGAAGCACCGTTACTGCATGGCCAGAAAGTGGGGGGCAGCGGGGCATCGCGCCCGAAGGCTGCATGGCGGCGCTGGGTCCAGCTGCAGGCAGAAGGGCGAGAGTGACTCTGCCGTTGCAAACTCCTGCCTGGACCCGTCCCCGAGCCCCGAAACGGGGGTGGCTGCCTGCAGCCGCCGGGGGTGGCAGACGAGGGGGCTCTGCGCTGCGGGACCCCAGCCTGAACGCGCTCGTCTGCAGAAGCATAAGCAAGCCGGGGAATGAGGCGCCGCTCGGAGCCGGGCCCAGCAGCGCCTGCGGGGTTAGGCTTGGCGCGAGGTTAGGCTTGGCATGGGGTTAGGCTCAGCTTGGGGTTAGGCTGGGCTTGGGGTTGGGCTCGGCACAGGGTTACCTGAGGAGCCTGCAAGCGGGATGCATCACCGTAGAGAAGCGCAACCGAACGGCACTTACCGTACCCGGTTGTGGGCAAGCCCAGGTGCTTCATACGGTTTTTGACAAGCTCAGAAAGCTCCTGCCGCTCGGAGCGCCGGTACAAGCTGAGGCGCTGCTGGCTGATCCACTCGGCCGTCTTGCTGGAGTGCTTGTTGCCCTTCCTGCTCAGCCGGCGCGCCCACTGCATGCTCTTGCGCCGCAGCAGCGGGTGCTCGGACTGGTCGCTGGAGCACGAGTTCCTGTGGTGGCTGGTCTTGATGCCCCAGTGCTCCTTGACGTCCTTTGTGTCCTCGCAGTCCTCGACGTTGATTGAGATCTGTGACTGGAAGCCCAGCAGGTCACGGGGGGGGCAGGGGGTGCCAAAAAGAGCCTGTCCTGTCTCTGATGGGGTGGGATCTCTCCCAGGGGACGGGATCCTTCCTCTGATCCCCACGCACTCTCCCAGCACATCATCGCTGTGCTGCTAAAACTACCTGGCCGGCAGATTTGGGATAAGCACTGTTAAGTGGAGTCTAATGGGCGCCTGCCATCTCCTCTCCCACGATTATCCCTGGGCTGCCCAAGGGCCAGCCGTGCCCTCGTCTCCCTCTCTTTCATCTTACAGCAGACGTGCTGCCGTGTCTCTGATACAGCAGTCCCCACTGGTGAGCCAGAATTTCTTAATAAAGTGCTTTAAAGCATCTCTAAGAAAGAGGTGGGTTGCGTTTAATTAAATGTCAACTTTTGGCTCCCTGTAGCTGCTTCCTACAAAGCTGAAAACTGAAGGTATTTAAAACAGAGCCTGGCTCACTGCCCTGCCCCGTATCCCAGTTAATTACACTTCAGGGCTCCGAGGACTTTTCCTGTCCGTGGGGACAGGCAGTGCCACACCAGCACTGGGGGTGACCGCCGGCACAAGGCACGCGGTGGCTCTTGGTGGCCAGAGGAGCCACTGGCACAAGCCAGCCCAGCGCTTGCCCGCGGGTCAGCCTCCATGGCGGGGGGGGGCCGGGGGGGAGGGCCTCCCAGCCAGGGAAATGCCCGACACCGCCCGAGCGCCCGGCGGCTGGATGCGAGCGGCACTCACCTGCGCTCTGATGTCGTGGGGCTGCAGCAGGGGAAAAGGAAGGAAAAATAAAGTGTTAGCCCAGCAAACGGGCAGCCCAGCTGTGCCACATCCCCCCTGCTCCCCGGGGACGCGGTGCTGCGCAGCACTGCAGAGCTGTGCCGAGAAAATCCCCCCGCCTGCCCGCAGCCAGGCCGCTGCCCGGAGAGACGGGCATTTACACTGAGCCAGCTCAGCCGGCTGGGGAATGAGGGCACCGCCACCATAACGCAGACATGGGGCCGCTAACGAAGCAAAGGCAAAGCTTCCCCTCCCCTCGCTCCTCCCCACCGCTGCTGCAACCAGGTCCAAGAGGCAGCATGGACCCAGCCAGCCTCATGGACCGCATCTCTGCTGGGCAGCGATGCCCGGCTGGGACCACCAGTAGCCCCTGTCCAGCACGCTTCACCGCTGTGCCCCTACCTCGGAGGTTGCAAACATGTGCGACTCCGTCCTGTAAATCCCAATGGGAATCTCCGCACTGGAAGAGCAGAGCTTCTGGAAGAGGCGGCCGTATGTCCGGATCCACAGGTCATCTTCAGTGATCTTCATCTGAGCAACAGAGGACAAACATCAACCGCCCTGCGCCATGCAGAGCCCGCTGAGGAGCACCTCGGGGCTGCTCCTGAGCTTCACCCAGCTCAGCGATGTCAATCCCGAAAGCTAGATGGGCTCCACAAAAAGACCAGAGGCAATTTCCGACCCCAGCCTTCAGAACAGGCACTTTGGTCCTTGGCAGCTCTTGGGCTTTTGGGCTCTTGGTAGCGCTGAGGTTCCCCACACACGATGCAGGGGAGCAATGACCTGGCACATTCTGCCTAACGTCTCCCCACCATTCCCCAGGAGAGGGAAACCCTCCACTCCCATGCGCTGGGTGACAGATCCCACCGGATCCAGGCTTTCTTGGCCCAATGGTTTCAACCCAGAGGGACATGGCACCTACCGCACAGAGGTAGCCAGAGCCCGGCGTGGTGTCGAGACCCAGCAGCAACCGAGTGATGGTGATCATGTAGTCCTTCACGAATGACTGGGGGGAGACATTTGGGCAGGAAGCCGGAGAAAAGGTTTGCTCGGTTATTTACTGGGAGACGCAAAGGGGCGGCCGCAGCTGCAGGGGTGCATCACCCAGAGCCCATCGGGCTCTCACCTGGTAGAGCAGCGTGTCCAGCATGCTGATGCTGAAGACCCTCCCAGCCGCAAAGGGCAGCCGGAACATGAAGGCCAGGTTGGAGCCATTCTCTCGCTCTTTCTGGAAAAGGAAGGGGAGATGTGAGCACCCGCAGGCAAACACCGTTGGCAGGGGCTGGTTCACATCCTTCCAGAGCATTTAGCAAAGCAAAACCACGCAGCCTCCCCCGCACACAGGTTGCACAGAAACTAGAAGACTCATGAAAATGGGAGGACACCAGCATAGCGTTTCTGGCGAGTGTGCCAGGAGGGAACCAGGGCAGCACCCTTACACTGGCTGAAGGAGGGTTTTTTCTCCATGGAAATGTGTGAGACATGGTTGTAGTTTTTTTTGACATGGGCCCTTTCACACGCCCCAGTGTCTGGTTCAGGGGTACTCACCCCCTTGCAGATCTGTCTCAGCACAGTGACCCCACTGCCCCCCTTACTGCAGTCACAGCATTAAACCTGATTCAGAGGTCCAGTGTGCCCAGCACAGCAGTAGGCAAAGCAGCGCAAACTCCGGCCACCGAACAAATACATAAATATGTAGAAGGAGGCAGCTACTCCAAAGATTGACTGGCCACATATTGGTTTGCTGCAGGTTATCTCGGGAAGATGCACACTAACTGTGGTAGCTGCAGCATGCAGAAGAGCACGGGACCTTGAGGAGCTCAATCGTGATCACTCTCAGCATTGACTTCCCAGGCCCCGTGTGCAGGGGAAGACCTTCTCTTACCTTTTCTAGCTTGGAAAGGGCTAGGGAGTAACTGTCCTTTGCTCTGAACTGCATGAACCTCATGTTGGAGGGGTGGGTCAGCTCTGTGATAATGCTGAGGCTGGGGAAGAGCCTGCAATGGAGAGAGACCTGTTGTCCTGCCGCTCACTCAGAAGTGAGGGCACTCCCTGCATTTAAAGCCTGAGGAAGACCAAAACCATCCCTGTCTGAGATCAGAAATAGCCGATTAGACACTGTTTCCTAGAGCAAGCCCAGCCGCAGATGTGTCCCACTGCCCGCAGCCACCACCACAGCCACCAGCACCCTTCCTGGTCTTGCCTCCAGCAGAAGTAAGTGGCCGTGATGGAGCCGGGGCAGTGGTTACCCCTCACCTGAACATGGTCTGGACGTTGACAATCGTCTTTGCATCCGCCATGTAGTCCTCCTCAGCGCTCATCGTGCTCTCCTTGTCCACAACCACCAGGTTGTCGGCGTAGATGATGCCGCACTGCAGCAAGCTGTCCAGGCTGGGCAGTTCCCAAAGAGAAGAGCGCAGGGTCAGCCCTTGGAAACGACACAGGGAAGCAGCACGCTGCGACGTGCTACAGCAAGCCCAGGCTGCTCCCAACCACTGGCTCTTCACCTCCTCCCATCTACCGGGGGGGTTCGACAACCCGAGAAGCCAAGGGCGGGCTCAGCTCTGCGGTACCAACCCTGGGGCTTTTCATGGGATGACCCGAAAGTCTGGGCTGGGGTAAATGCAACACATCTAGGCAGCACCATACAGCCACACGCGGAAACACCTACTTGTCGATTGTGCCCTCCATGTAGTAAACCATGGGGAAACAACAGATGGCTTCCAGAAAGTGGTGCTCGGGCCTGGAGGAAGAGCAAGAGAGCAAGGTGGTTCAGCAAGTCCATGGGACAAAGACAGACACAAAACCCACACAGGAGTCCCCAGGGCCAAGGTACCCAACAGTGGCACTGCCATTCCCCCATGCTCCCATCCCCACAGTATGAGATGCCCATGAAAACACAGGGGAGGGCTCGGTGCGATGGAAAACATCTGCGGAAAACTACTTGCTTGTTGTCCAGCAGCAACACAATTGGGTTCAGCTCTTTGCGGGACCGATAGTACGCACGAAGGGGGACGATGAAGTTGTACAGTCCGTTCCCAGCCGTCTCTGCCGAAACGATGATCAGTTTGTTCTTAAACCCGTAGGCTTTGGCATCTTCAAAGCTGTTGTGCTTGCAGCCCTGTGCGGTGGAAGGCAGCGCGGGGACTCAGCACGCGGCTCTCGGACGCCCGCTCCCGGGGGGCTGCGGCCCCCGGGCAGCCGCCTGCAGCCCCATCGTACCTTGTCCAGCCTCAGGCAGCAGAAAGGGGCTTTCTCGGGTAAAAGGTGGCACAGAGTCGGGGAGCTCCCAATGTAGGGTGAGTTGGGTGGGTAGCCCTTCACGTACCTGCAGCAGAGAGAAAATCCAGTAGTGTGAGGACATGGGGAGAGTTCTCTGCATATACAGCTCTCAGATGCTGGGAAAAACATTTCAAAGCAGCAGACCCAGGGCTCAAGCACATCACTGGCAAATGCTTTGCAAAACTCTCCTGCAGCAGCTGGAAATTTTCCAAAATACACATATTTAGGAATCATTTTTGCTATGGAAAGGGTCATGAGATTGCGAACAGGCAATGTTCCCAGCACGGGTGGAGAAGGCAGCAGATAGGACCATCGAGTGCAGTTGAAGGGAGACAGGGCAGCATGCTCTGGGAGAGTGGGGCGATGCTGAGCCATATAAAGAAGCAAAAAACCTCATGGTCTATTTTTAGAGTTTGTTTTGATGAACAGATATTTTAAATATCACCATTTGTATTTTTGATGGAACCAGAAGCAGAAATTTCATTTAAAAAGCGGCTAAAAGTGGCCATGAATTAAGAGCCAATTGGTAGGAGTTTGCAGATACTCGGTACGTTCCCCACATCGCTGGGACAGCATCCAAACAGGTAACCACTAAAGCAAGTGCTCATCTGGCTGTCATAAATTAACAGCTTTAAAGCTGCAGTAAACATTTATTTTGTATTTTTTATTTATGTGCAATGGAGAACAGGATCCTCTTCACGTTGGTGAGTGAAGGGACGCGAGAGGACTGCCGGAACAACCCTGCCCATCCCCAGCAGTGTAAGCAGCCCAAAAGGCTTATGGCCAAGTGGCGACTGCCCGTGTTATAGACATTGGTGTGCTCAGAAAAAGCCACGGGGGCTTCCCTCAGGCACCATTGAATGCCCGTCATTGACAACGGTCCCCGTCTCTCTGATACGAGGGACGGCTTGACCGGAGGCGGGCGACTCACTCCACAACCACCGACCCCTCCTCGTCCGACTGCGTCATCTCGTCTTCCGACTGGTCGCTGAGCAGGTCGCAGGGCAGCAAGGACGAGGTGTCGGCCAGCTCGAGGACGGGTGCGATGCTGGGCCGGCGGGTGCCCGAGCCGTTCTCCGCCGGCAGCGCCTTGCCCGGAGCCGTTCTCCGCCGGCAGCGCCAGCTTGCTGCTGTTAGCGGGGCGGCACTCCGTGTTCTGCAGGTCCATGGCTACTGTACCTGGACATGGTGGGGAAGGAAGCACAGCAAACACGCTATAAGGAGGTGAAGAGAGCTGCATTGGCAAAGCATCGCGCCCTTGAGCCCTGCATGGGGACGCGGGGGAGCACACGGGGCTGTGCATCACCCTCCCCGTCCCCCAGCTGTGGCCACCTCCTGCTGAGGCTCTCATCTGAGTCTTGGCCAAACAGTGACTTTTAGATGGTCGGGAATGCAGGGAGTTTCCCAGCAGGCAAAGCCCAGCGCTGGGCTTGCCGGGCATCACTGCCCTGCTTGCACTCGCGTGATTTCTCTCCCTCTCGTTTCTCTTTGCCAAACGTCCCTCTGCGAACAAGCCACGTAATGAGAACATTGACAAATGCTGTTCAGCAAAGTGCTTTGCGGCTTGCTGGGGGATAATCTATGCAAATTGCTGCTCGTGAGTATGAATGCATAAATTATTTGCCTGAAATACAATCTGCCCGTGTAGCGCAGCCTCCCCAAAACTCACTCTCCCCAGATACAAGCTGGAAGTAATGACTCATGGTATTTTTTATTTGCAAAAATGCACCACTCGCTGCAGAGCAAACTAGGCTCTTTGTTGGGCTGTGAATCATAAACATTATTTAGGATGTAGCCAACAGCATTTATTCTTCCAGCCAGGGCTTGATGGATTTATGTAAATACCATTAATGATAATGGACATCACGAGCTTTAACAATGATATTTGAGCTTGCTGAGAGCACCCAGGGTACAAGGAGCAGTGTGTATGTTACAGGTGAGGCGACTGGGACGAGGGATGGAAAGGGATTTTCAGTGGCTCCCAGCCACACCCAGGTAAGTGGGCATGGCCAGGAGTTTGCAAAAAGCAAAATAAAACCAAACCTGGGGAAGGAGCTGAAACCAAACCTGGGAAGGAGCCGGAGCGGCGTGTGCGGGATCCTGCCCTGCCCTCCCGGGGAGCCCCGCTGCACCGCCGAGGCCCCGCCGACTCACCCATGCTGGCAATGATACTGTGCACAGGCAGGCGGGACGGGCCGTCGTAGGTGCCTCTCCCCGCAAAGCCCTTCTTCTTCTGTTTCTCCTCCTGCTTGAAGATGAAGGCAGAGTTCTCCTCCTTGGTGATGTTGATGTAAAAGCAGGTGACGACGTGGGCAGTCACAGCTGGAGAAATGTCCCCTTGGGGCTTTGTCCCTGCACAAAGGACCTCGCAGCACCCTCCGGCACCAGCCCCGACCCCCCAGGGACGCAGACTGGCAGATACGCCCTGCCCACCCCTGCCCATCACCCCACTGCCCTCACTTCTTGTGTGCGTGGAAGGCGGCATAGGTGAAGCTCTTCCCCTCGTACTCCATGAAGAACTTGCTGTCGCCCATCCGGATGTGGTAGACCTCGTTGCCCGAGCAGCGCCCGTACATCCGCTGCCACTGCTCCGGAGACTCCTGGCCCTCCCTGCAACGACAGCAGCAGTGTGCTGGGATGGGACCCCCCCCATGGTGCTGGGATGGGACCCCCGTTGTGCCAGAATGCGACCCCCCCCCCAGTGCCAGGACAGGACTCCTCCCATGCCGGCACAGACCCCAGCACGCCAGCCAGCTCCCGGGGCAGAGCCGCACAGCAGGAGTGCTAATAAGCGCTGAAGCTGCCATTTAGACCAACGGGGTGAGGCTATGGTGACATGTTGCCACAAGCTGTCGGTGCTCACAGGCTGAGGACGAGCTCATTTTCATTTCTGATTTTAAGTGGCTTTTTCTTTAACGAGGGCTCCCACGGGGCACAGCGGCGGGGTTCAGAGCCCATGTTGGCAAATGGCTCCGAGTGTGGGGTGAGAGTCCTCTGGGAAGGATGTTTCATAACTCTTTTGATGTCACCTTACCCAAAATTCAGACATTTCTGACTGGCCAAGGGGCGCAGGACCCACACCACCGCTTTACCGGGCTGGCGGAGCTCCTTCCAGCTGTGCTTTACATAAACCCGCCAAACAGCCTGCAGGGTCCGGGTTTGCACGGGCTGTGAATTAACCTTCCCTCCAGCGGGACCAGGCCAGTATAAAGACGACATTTTTATTCCTAGTCTCTGGAAAGGTGGTGTAGGCCAGCCCATCTGCACTGCTGTTTTCCCCCTACAATGTTGGCTTTTGCTCCCGACCTGGCTGGGGGTCGCAGTGTGCTCCCCCAGACCCCCACCAGACCCCCTGCACCCAAAGCCCCCCCCCCAGCTCTGCTGTCCCTCCATGCCCAGGCTGGGGTGGCAGAGGTGAAGGCAGGGAGCCGGGCAGGGGCAGGCAGAGGCAGGCAGGGCAGCGGGCAGGCAGCACTCACTGGCCGCGGGAGGTGTGCACCAGCAGCGTGATGAGGGTGGAGGTGGCGGGGCAGACGCAGTTCAGCGCCAGCATGGCGTATTTGCACTCCTCTTCGCAGACGACGTGATCTGAAAGGCAGAGGGGACCGTCACGATGGGGAGGGGGACGGCCGGGTTCCTTGGCCAGCAGTGCCCGGGGATGCGGTACTTTTGGGGTGGTGTTGGGGGCTGGGTGCTTCCTCCTCCTGCCAGTCTGGGAGGGCTTTCAGACGATCAACACCCCACGGGGAACAACACGAATGGGATTAATGCAGGCAGGAAAACAGGGACGCAGGCTGGAAACCAGCCAGGTGGACACCAGCCCACCACCACCACGTCCACGGGGACACACACCGAGGCACTCATGGGACTGGTGTGCCCGCACGCAGCCCACCCCGCAGCAGCCCGGAGCCGGCTCTCCCCTGGCCCCAGGTGCATTGCTGCAGGCTTTGGTGTGCATCGTGACAAGGGGGCTGGCAGCCCTAAAATATCTTCCAGCAATCGGGAGGAGTCTCAGCACCAGGTCATGGACTCCTCCAAGATGGAAACGCTGCTGGAAACATCCGTGATGGCAGGTAAGACAGTCCAGACCAGCGAAGTGAGCAGTGCTGCCCGCTGCTGCGCAGCCCCTCCGACTCACCGGCAAACTTGACATGAAACTTGTTTTCAGGCTTTAAGATCTGAACGTAGAGAGGACAGTTTGGAGCAAAATCTTTTACAGCCCAGGCTCTCAGGATGGTCTGGTGGTCCTAGACAAGAAGAGCAAGAGGTACTTGTCTGATGGCTTATTTTCCCCAACGTTTCTATGCCCGAGATGAACTGCAAAGCATCCAGCCACTGTGGAGAAGTATGGCAAGGGCTCCTCCAACACCCACTGCTAACGGCAGATAACCTCCCTCCCCTGCTCCCCAAAACCCAGCACTGATGGGAAACTGGGACAGCAGAGGGAAGGTGAGCCCGCAGGGGCTCAGCTGGTGGCGTGCTGCCACATGTCCCCGTGCCGTCCCCGTGCCACCTCTGTGTTTCTTTGCGGTCACTGCCTGCCCGCAGGGACCCTTGGGCAGCTTCGTTACCAGCAGGAGTGCCAAATGCCAAAGGAGGGAAGGACCAGGCAGTGCAGCACCCTCTGCTCCGCGCGTTAGCACCTGCAGAAAAGACCCCTCCAGGGGGGCTGCAGAGGCTCAGGACGGCAGGGGCAGACAGGAGCCACCGCCACAGCATGGGCAGCATCCCTGGCACCGGCTGGCAGCACGAGCTGTCACTGCTGCCACCTCCTCTCTCTCCCATGGCTCCAAAACTAAGATCTTCCCAGCAAAGTCCCTGCCCAGGCTCAGGTAAGATTGCATTAGGCAAGGAGGTTTTTGGGGTGAGCTGCCCCAGGGCACTCAAACCCCACGCTTTCACCCCAGCTGCCCCCCAGCGTGCTCCTGTGCCATGCAGCGGCAAGATGCAGTGATCACCCTGGTCCCTTCTGGCCTGAGAAATGAAATAATCTCTGACCGTGCCATCCCCCAGGCCTGGCTTACCGCCGCGGTGCGGTCCACCTCGTTTCGGCTGCTGAGAATGAAGCAGGCTTCTCCATTGTCCATCCTGCAAACAGAGCCACGACCTCATGAGTTGCATGGGCCAGCAAAGCTGGGCATCTGCCCGTACCAGCCAGGATGCTGCCAGCCCCTCCGAGACCCCAGCAAAAGCATGCAGGGATGCCCATTGTCATTGCATCTGGGCTGACATCACTGGGGACCCTCCTTTGCGGCTCCAAGGCCTGCGGGCAGCTCAGCAGCACGGCAGGACCAGCCTCGCCGTGGATGTGCAGCGTGTCCCTCTGCTCACTTGGCTCTCATGAGGTCCTGGTCCTTCAGCGCAGAGCCCTGGAGGTAGATCACTCGCTGCGACCACAGAGGGATCTGCAGGACCCGCCGCACTTGGATATCCATCTCTGTTGGGCAAAGTATCACCACGTAGTAATCCTGAAAGAGAGAGGCTCGCGTGGGTCGGCAGGCTGGAGGTCCCACACGCCTGCTGCAGCCAGCTGAGAAACGGGGCTTTGCTGCCTGAGCGAATGGCTCCTCTGGGGCTTCTGATATTTGTTCCCATGTGTGACACCCCCTGCCCCTGCTCTAGGGCCCTGCAAGGGTCTTGGAAAACACATCAGCAGCTTCACCGCTCCGTTCTGCATAACAAAGCCAATGCAGGCACAGCTGCAAGCCCATAGCAAAGTGGAGCCTCTTGCAGTTACAGAAACAAACAGGATTTTAAAGCCTGAATGTGTGGAACCAAGGCTGGGGGATGGCAATGAAGCGTATGTGAGTGTCAGAATGAAATGCAAATCTGAAACACATCTGTGATGCTCTCGTCCTGGGGAGATGGAAAGGCACAGTCATTTGCTTGAAGATCACTTATTATGTGCGGATACTCCAGTTAGCGCTGGGTAAATCCCACTGAGGTTTAGCAATTACATGTTCTGTTTCTGTCTGAGATTCTCCGTTCAGTAAAGACACTCTCAAATCTAGAAAAGTCCCTCTGGTCCCTCTCCATGTGCTTGCACAGTGCTGTAACAGGCCTGGCCAGAAAACGGGGTGGCTCAGGCAGAGAGAGCCCCATGGCTGAGCTGGCAAAGTGAGGTGGCCACAAGGTACCACTTGTCACCTCTCCTTGGCCAGTGGAGCATGTGCTTTCCAGTGCTGGGCTGGATGGTTTTTACCTTACTCTTTGCTACAGCCACTGGAGCTGAGCAGGGCACTCACCACCAGCAGTGACCCGGCCGCGCCCAGCAAGGCTGCGAGCCCAGCCAGGGCAAGCGTTGACCAAGCACATGAGAACATGGCTGGTCCTCACCTGCAGGCGCGGGTGGGCGTAAAACTCATTGAGGAAGTCCATGAGGAGATCAATCTTGAGGGAGCTGACACAAAGGACGACGTGTTTCTCCGTCTGGGCACGGTGACGGCTGTAATTGCCTCCCGATTTCTGCCGCTCCATCCACAGGTAGACGAGCTCCTCGAACTGCAAATGAAGGCAGAGAGCTGACGTCCCCATCGGCGGGGCTGCCCGGGTACAGGCTCTGCATCCCTCTCCATCCTCTGCCACATGGGTCTAACCTGGAGCGGCAGCACGACCAGGGCGACGCAAATCATTATCACGACGAGGAGCTGGGAAGGCCAGATCTTTGGTGTCACGTCTCCATAGCCCACGGTGGAAAAGGTGACGATGCAGAAATAGAAGGACTTGAAGAGGGAGAGCTTCTCACCTGCTCTTTCTAAATGCTGGATGCCACAGGTCCTGGAGAGAGAAAGCACACATCACAGCAAGCGCTTCCCTGCCTGGGAGACGGGCAGCGCCTGTAGCTCCTGCTGAAGTCGGTGGGGAACCCTAGAGCGTGACTTACACTCATGTCCATGGAGGAAATCTGTCTGTAACACGCTGTCAGCATCAGCAGTGGATTTATGTCGCCAGCAGAAGTGATTCAGCTAACGGCACTTACAGGTGAAGGAGTTAGTTTGATGTGGTTGCTCACCAAAGCAGCATGGGGAAGTCTAGGTCCTGGGTGGTGGGTCACGATAAGACCATGCCATGGACGGCATGTGAACATCACCTGGGGGCTACCCTTGTGTTGCAAAAAATCAAAATGTGGAAGGGAGCAGCTGTCCCAGTAAGGCTCTGGGGGCACTCAGCCCACAGGAAGGCCTCTCACTTATGGGGGGGATGCACTCCGGCAGGCAGGAGGCAGATCCCATCGCCCACTCCCGGCCCTGTGCCGCTGCCCTTGCAAAGCTGTGCCGCAGAGCTGCCTTGCTCCCCATGGTGAGGCAGGCAGCATAACTCCACAAACCTGCAGTTTCAAAGTCATCTTGCTAAACACAAGTGTCACCTAAGTTGTCTTGGACCCGAATTGTAGCCCTGCTGCGTCCACCAAGAAACATGTCCATGGCCCCAGTGGGCAGGAGGTGCCACGGGCAGCGAGCGCTGATGAGCTCCGCAATTGCATTAGTCATTCACATCAGAGGATCCTCTTTATTGCCAAAGACTCAGGAGCCTAAAAGCTTCATTTCCTGTCCATTCAGCAATTTAATTGGTATTATATGCTTCAAATCCAGACCAAGGGAGCCAGAGGAAAATTCAAGAAGCCTAATTCAAAGCTAAGTACCCAGCGATGAGAACTGACTCCTCTATAAAGAGATGCCCTTGTTGTGGGCAATGTGCGGGGTAAAGGGCCCGGTTAATTAGCAGGAGCCCCAGTGGCCTATTACACAAATGAGCGCAGCAGCCACGGTAACTTGGTGGGGAGGAAGAGCGCGGTCGGAGCCAGCAAGTGCAATGGGTCCTGGTGAATGAGCCGTCACACGCATCTGAGCCCGTGTCCCCGTGGGAAGCTGCTGTCCCTGCCCTCGACCCTGCAGCACTCACAGCGCTGCTCTGAGACCTGTGTGCCTGCATCACCCATCTCCCTCCGACAACACCCTTGTCATCACACGTGCCTGTTAAAAAGTTTCTGTTAAAACCATATAATTAGGGAGGATAATTAGTTTCTAAAACAGGAATTGATCTTCCCAGTGTTCAGTGTGCTGGGGAATGAAGCAAGGCAGGGAGGAGCCCGGCGCCGGGGGGTGATGGTGCAGGGGGTCCTCCCAAAGCTCCAGCAGACATGGCTGGGCCCAAGCCAAAGCCCATGGATGCACATGGAAACCTGGGGCACACCACACTCCTCGTCATGGCTCCCCCGATTCCACAACTCAGCCCGAGGAACTGAGACTTGTCCCATTAGCAAAGAAAGGATGCCAAAGACTTGGGAGCTCAATCTGATCAGCAGCCCTGAACAGTTATGCTTTCTTCAGCATGTACAAACCTCTCAGGCTGAAAAATCAAGTTAGAAGACACCACTTAAAGGCAGAACCTCCTCTGGCTTCTCAAATCACCACCTTATGTCCTGGCAGTGCCATCCCACCACAGCTGGGAAGGTCCCACCCCACCTCCCCCTCCTGTAAGCCCTGCGAGAGCCCGGCTCTGCCAGTCACCCCTGGGACATGCAAAGCTGATCTCCCTGCATGGAGAAGGCGGCTGAGTGCACCGAGGAGCAACACTCACCCCGTGAAAACAAGACACAGGAGGGTGCAGATCAGAATGAGCACCTGGTTAAACATCGCAGACTGGGTCCTTTGTATGGCGCGGTGCAGGTCGTTCTGGGAAGAGAGGAGAGGACTCACCAAGTGGGGGATGCTGAGGGTAAAGTACTCCTCCAAGCACCAACTGCTGCTGTCTTGCTGGCTCCAGCAATGCCCCCGCAGATGGAGGTCAGGCCAGAATTTGGCCCTTGAAAAGGGATGTGCGTTTCTGTGAGCAGGTCTGGGCTCTGCTGCCAGGAGCGACGGCTCAAGTGGGCATGTGGGAATGGCTGGAATATCTCGTCCTGCTCAAATACCATATCGCGGGGACAGCCGGAGGCCGTCCCTGTCAATACGCAGCCAACAGAGTCAACATGGCTCAGACACCGAAGGGCTCCTGCTCAGGTCCACAGCCCAGCATCACCAGCTGGCAAAGCCTCGCCTCCCACCAACCCCAGCACGGCTGCACGCACCGGGCACCAGAAACTTGCCCGAGAACCGGCAGCAGGCGAGGACCCCCCCAGCCACGCCGCCCTCGGCATCCCCAGGGCAGAGGGACCCAGGGTGAAAGGGGTGGGATGCGTCCGGTCACTCACAATCATGTTCTCCAGGGCGTACTTGGCAAGCCAGCAGTTCAGAAACACAGGAATGAACAAATTCCGCAAAGGAGGCCAGAATATCTATGAAAGCAAGAGTCACTCGCAGAAAAATCCATATTCTCTATCAGGAAAAGCTATAAACAGCCAATTCGAACCCTAGTGGGAAGGATCCATCTCCAAACTAAGCACCGGCCTCTGCAGAGGCTGCCACCGAAAGCGGCCCCGCTCCCCTGGCTGCAGTGGGGCCGCTGAAAACCGAGGATGGTTTTTGGGATAACGCTCCAGAGAAAGTCATTATGTTGAAAAATATTGAAGAAAAAAAAATTCCTGCCAGCTTTAAATACCACTTGGCCAGACATCCATTTTTCTTTATTTCGCCACCAAAACTACAGTACTTATTAAACTTAAAGCTGCTTTAAAATGTCACCGGGAAACACTCACCGTGATAATAAATGGCACTGTGTTGATCATCTCGAGGATGAATGAAATGCGAAAAATCTGTTCCCAGATGTTCCCCTGAGGAATTAAAAACAAATAATAATTAAATAAGCTTAAAAATCTGCCAAATGACAATTAAAAAGCCCCCACTCTGCCACAGACCATGCTACATGGGGGAAGCACGCCAGAGCAGCCTGGAAGATGCTCCGGTTTGGCTGCGGGAGATGCAGTGCTGGCAGCAGACGCGCTGGAGTCAGTAACACCTTCCCAAACCGTTCAGTCCTGTCCGCAGCCACGGCGTCCCTCTGTCCGTCACTGCTGCTGCCCAAAGCCAGGGGACAACCACGCTTCGTGCAACGACAGAGAATGAGAGTGACTGATAGAGATTGCTGGCACTCAAACTGGTGGGTGGCACAGGATCTGAGTCTTTTCTGCCAACTGTCCCAGGGACCCCGAGAAGACGCCATTTGTTAAGGTCACTTTTCTTGGCCATTTTAAGGGGCTTTGATCCAAAGGAGTCAGCCTGTGCCTCTCCCTGTCTGGCTCGGAGCAGTGCCGGCTACCTCCGGAGGCAGCAGACCTCGGCACAAGCAGGGGTCATGCTGCAGAGCTCAGCTCCAGGACCTCAGCCTTAGGAAACTCAGCGTGCATCAATCTGGCCCCGCAAAAAAGCAGCGACCCTTTGTAAAACACTTCTGAATTTAAAGGAAGGTGGAGAAAGAAGAGATCCCCCAGCTCTGCTCTGCCAAACACTTATCCAGCAGCCCAAGGGGGAATGAGAAAGGAAAACAGCCACAGTCAGCTGAGACATCGCCAAGACAAACGTCCTCTCAGGATGCTTCAGGCTTCAGACAGCTCAAAGACAGAGAAATGAATTCATGCCGGGGGGTCAGACCCAGACCGCACATCACTGTCCACTGCCCGCCCCGGGGCGCTTACCTTGTAGCTGAGATAGATGAGCAGCATGGTCTCCAGAAAGCTGATTAAAGCTATGCTGACCTGCGGAGACAGACAGGCAAAGGCTGCTGAGGGCTCATTCGGTGCGGCGGCAGTCGATCAGAGGCTGCGAGCCCCTCTGCCGAGCCCTCCCTGCCCTGTGCAACCAGGAGCCCGTGGGAATCGCAGACGTGGGCCCGTTTGATCCCTCTGCACCCATCTGTGCAAATGTCTGCCATGCACGAGCAACAGCATGCGGGCGGCCCCGAGCAGAAGCCGACGGGCGCTCAACCCTCCTGCAAGCGATTCCCCAGGCAGATGCCCAGCCTGAAAATACATGTTACTGGTACAGCTGCATCCGGGCTGGGGAGGAGCTGAGCCAGCCTCTTGATTTTATCTTCCTACAGCTTTTCCTCTCCTATCGGTCCCTGGGATTTTCACCCAGGGCCATGTTGTTGCTCCCAGCAGAAGCCCCAGATCATTTGCTGCTCACCCAAGAGAACCCGTTGCCCCTCGCTGTTGCGGGCAGAGGATGCACAGAGACCTGCTGGCGGCAGAGCTCAAACCCCGGCTCCTGCTGCGCTCCTACATGCCCATGCCCGAGGTCTGGGCACTCACCTGCACAGCCCACAGTGGCATTTTTCTATCCACCCAGAAGATGTGTGACCTGCAAAGAAAATTCAAAACGGATCTAAACTGTAGCCCAACTAGCACTGCCTTTACCCCCCACCGAATGCAAATCTGAGGCCATCCCTGATGCAGGACCCAGCACAGGACTGGTACTGGTGTTCCATACTGCACAGTTTGTTCAAGCAGCCTCTGCACTGGGAATAAGCCATTCCCAAGGGTGCAGCCACAGGCACTCGTCAATTGACTTGATCCTGGGATGCTGCTCTGCATCCCTTGAGCAGCCCCGTGACCCCGAAATGGCCACGGGCAGCTGCCAGCACCAGCCACATCCACCACTGCATTCCCACATCCTGGCAGAGCCAGACCCCAGCACTGGAGCAACTCTGGACTCACCAGTTTATCTTTGTGGACTGGTTGAACGCCGTGTAATTCTGCTTTTCGCATTCCCAGCTAGGAGAAGAGAAAGACAAAGCAGGGGAAAGCAGGGGGGAGGAAGGAAAAGGGGTGCTGGCGTGCACTGCCCGGGCTCATGGGGTGCCCTCGCGGCTCCGTCCTCGTGCTGGGGAAGCCCCTGGACAACACTCCCACGCGCCCAAACGCACACTGGTCCCCACAGCCAGGGCTTTCCACAGGAGCCTATCTCACCCGGGCAGTTCTTAACATCTTATTACAGGAGAACACGACCTGTCAGGTACTGCAGCCCATACCAGAGATGCTGTGAAATGCTGACACTCACCGGGCACAGGGCTCCCTGCGCACAGTGCTCGAACACAGGGCTGCGGCTGGGAATTACCAGGTTACAATTAGCAAAAGCTGCTGAGCTTTGGCTTCTAGGACAAGGCTAGGTGGGCCCCGAGCGGCCAGCCAGGCAGGCAGCACCGAAGCCAAGCTCTCCCCTTGCCTTGCTGCGAGGGATGCGTTCCCACTGGCCAGCCTTTATTTTGCCACTCACCCTCGGGAAAATGGACTTCCCTGAACTGCAGCTGGGCTAAACCTTTCCAGGAGATGCAGCTGTGTCACGCTTAATTCTTACAGATTTGAAACCACTTTTGGACAATGCAGACGTACTTGGTAGTCTGCAACCTTTACAAAGAGAAAATCAAATTGCTAATTCTCCTAGCTCTTGAAAAAAACCCACACTGTATGTGAGCTAAACAAAGCAAGGACATATTAAAAATAGGCTTATACTGAAACCCAGAGCAAAGCTGATGTATGTAATCATCTGTCACCTCGGGGATCTAAATGGCAAAACATATTTCCTTCCCAAACGCTTAAATGGGATTTAGCATAAGTGTCTTCAAGGGCATCAGGATTCAGAAAATACTTGCACGGTGATGCCCTGTAAATCATGAGCTCTTGCCTGTGTCTGAAGGCCACGCTGCGCTCCTGACCATTAGAGCCAGACAGCATTTGGAAATGAACGTAACGTTGAATTTTTCCACCACCTTCCCCTCGTGCGCCACGCAGGGCCAGCGGACGCCCGCACGCCTGTCCGCAGGGTTTGAGCAAGGAGCAAACCCCACCAGACCAGCAAGTTTGGCTAAAGTACCAATTCAAACAGCTGGAGTGAGAAAAACCATCCACCATGCATCTTCACACCCGCCCTGAGTAGCTGCTGTCGCGTCTGCGCTGCCCGTCGCATGGGGCGGAGCGGGTAGCCCAGCCGCAGCGGCACTCACCAGCCTATGCCCTCCTCCGGGTTGTCGAGCAGGACGCGGACGATGTACAGGAGGCAGGTGAGCAGCTTCAGCGAGAAGTTGAAGAGACGGATCCTCAGGCCTGCGGCAGAGGGGAGCACGGCGTGGGCCAGGCAGCGCGTCCCGGGCACCCGATGTACCCCGGGCACCCCCGACACCCTGTGCGACCCACAGCACAGCCTCTTTCATTTCCCACAAGCTCTGCAGGGCCCCTTGCACCGCAGGAGCCCACTGAGCCCCAGGGGAGCTGCAGGAGCCCCAGCGCAGCACACAAACGTTGCTCACGCTTTGCCTGGGGCTCTACACATCCTACCCAGTGTCAAATATATATGAGATGAATACAGAAATAAATAACGATGAGTCAGCTCCTTGCTGGCCCCAATAGATGTGAGAGACAACTGAGGGAGCTGCTGGAGTGTATCCCCCTCATTAGCAGGCATCCATTAAAAAGCATCAGACAGGCAGGGCCAGGGTTCCACTTTGCTCACCATGTTGCAAACAGCTTGCAGGAGGAGGGATAGCAAGAAAAAGCTGCTGCTTTACCCGCTCTCCCTCCCCAGCCAGTTCATGGGGGTTATTACTCAAATTACAAGTGCAAAATTAATCACATTTTCATTAAAAACTTCCCCGCGGGCACCCTGCTGTGCTGCGCTCTAGCTTTTTAACAAGACGACAGGATGCAGGGAGGAAAAGAAAATGTGAAATTATAAATTAACGAGTGGACTCCCTCCAGACAGCTAATGACATCTTGGAGAAAGAAAATAAAAACACCATTAGTCAAGTGGAGGCTAATTCGGATGGCTGAAGTGGGAGTGAGCAACTCACAGCCTGCCTCCGCTGTCCCCACAGCCGCTGACCTCCCTGCGGGCATAGGGAGCATTGCCAGCCCCGTGGCGGAGACATTTGCTCCCTGACCCGCCCCGGGCAGCTCCTGATGCCCACCCTGCTCCCGACCAATTTGTCCCAGCTGGTTCCTGTGCTGTAGCAAGGAAAAAATTTGTCCTCAGTGAGCAAAGGTGGCAGGCAGCATCCCCTCCTCCCCGTGCAACCGCGTGCCCCCAAACCAAGTTGGCCAACACCCAACAGAAAGGCCAACAGGCAGCCAGCACTGGGGACACATGGGGAAATAGCCACCAGCAGATGGCAATGGCTTCTTGTCCCACGAGGACGGAGCACGGCTTTCGAGCTCAGGCAGTGTTTGGTTTCTCCCAGCAGACACTCGGGCTCCACGCATGGAGCACTCACTCGATCGCTGGTTTTTGATGAAGAAGAGCTTCAGCCGCTCCTTGAAGGTGTTTTCATTCACATAGAACTCGACCTGCACCCTGTGGGGAAAGCGCCCAGAGGAGCCCATCAGTGGGGCGGGAGGTCAGACCCAGAGCCCCCCTGGAGCCCTGTCCCCCCATCCCGGGTGGGTGACCCCCCAGAGCAGCCCACAGCAGACCCCAGACTCAGCCCTGGGCTCCCAGCGGCTACCACCATACCAAATTGCCAGTACCACCAGCCATGAGCACCAAGACGTGGCACATCGATGACTACCAAAGCAGCCGATGCGACCCAACAGGGCCAGTTCTACTGTGGGTTAAGGGTTTTGCTTTCATTCACATGCAACCAGCTGACATCGGACTTGCAAACTTCTCCTTTCCCGCACGCTTTACAACGTTCAAAGCCTCTCAGAAAAGCGGTGACCTTGGAGCAGTCTCCCCCAGCAATGCTTTATCTGCTCCGACCCTCCACGGCTACAGCAGAGCAGGAGCCGGTGAGGGCGACGTCCCCAGTACACCCGTGCCCTGGCTCTGCCCAAGTAGGAGCAACATTCAGCTTCGAAGCTGTTAAAAAACAAATCCGATCTAAAAGGAGAAAAATTCCCTTTGTTGCTAAGATACCACATTTGGCCATTCCAGAAAAACCCAGGAGCTGCCAACCAACTCTGAACGTCACTTGGCATTTGGAGTCGCCAGTGGCTTGTGTCACCAGGACAAGGCGCCGCGGCAGAGAGCCGCCCGCCGGGGCACTGTGCAGAAACCGGCCGGGAGGAGCCGCAGGGGAAATGGAAAATGCCCTGTCCACCGCTGCGACCACCACGGCCATTTCTTCATCTTCCGCT